GGAATTGGACCTAGGTCTCACACATGCTAGGCAAGCACTCCTGGAATAGTTTAGGCCTCAAACTAGAGCTGCCTAAGATTTTTTGCTCCTACTATAAACCCGAGGATGCTGCAGGTCACCCAGAAGGCCTCCAGGGGAACACTAGAAAGGACTCTTCTCTCTTTAGCCCTCCCAGTGTTGGGGAGGGGCTCTGAGACATGATTTCTTCCTGGGCTTCAAGAGCCTCTGATTGAGATCAAAGACCCATTTGTAGTAGCCTTGCCACTTGTTGGATGGCATTTCAGCTGTCCCGAGGACATTCTAGTTTTCTTGATAATAAAAACAGACATGAAAATCTATCCCTGCCACTCCTCCCACAAGCCAGTCTGCCTAGCCATCATTTCCAGGCACTATTAGCATTTGAGGTGAAGTTCTGTTATACACTCAGGCTGTGGCTCTCTGAAAGTCAGTGCATCACAGAACTTTGTCTCGAAAGCTTTCTAGCAGCTGCCCTTTTGGAGAGTGGGAGGGAACAATAGGTGTTTCAATCTTTTGAATACATCCCTAAGGTTGTAGGGTCTTTCTCAACAACCAACTTAATGTGTTACAAAATCAAAGCCTCGTCCATTGTCCAGGAAGCCCATTTCTCTGCATCTGGGAGTTATTTTATAAACTTGCCCTTTGCAAAACTTGGAGTGAAATTACATTATCAGTAATGGCTTCTGGAGCCTTTAAACTGGCTGGTTTTATGGCATGAGGGGAGCCCCTGTCCCTCCCCACTGCTGAGAGGGAAAGGCCTCAGGCTGAAGTGGGACCAGCACTAGTCCAGAGGTGGCAGGAGAAATAAGGAGAGCATGGTGTCACTTTCAAGCAGTGATTGCTGTCCTGTCTAAACCCTCAGCTTTCCTTGCATGGGTCCTCCTTTGCAAGTGAGAAATGGCCAGCCTCTTCTCCCTCACCTTCTTTCCTCTTCCCGAACTTTTTTAAAAATTTATTTATTTATTTATTTATTTATTTATTTATTTTTGGTTTTTTTGTTTGTATTTTTTGAGACAGGGTCTCCTTGTAGCCCCAGCTGTCCTGGAACTCACTATGTAGACCAGGTTTTTTAAAAATATTTTATTAATTTATTTTATGTGTATGAGTGTATTGCCTGCATGTATGTGAGTGTACCCGTGTCATGCATTGCCGCGGAGGTCAGAAGAGGGCTTTGGATTCCTCTGGAACTGGAGTTAAGGATGGTTTGTAGCTGCCATGTGGGTGCTGGGAATCGAACCCGGGTCCTCTGCAAGAGCAGTCAGTGCTCTTAACCATTGAGCCATCTCTCCAGCCCCTTCTCGAGCTTTTATACCTCAAAGCTCGTCTCTCTCCTTTCCTCCCTTAGCCTGTCTTTTATCTTGCCCTGGAAGACCCAGTGTTTCTGTTTGGAGGGTTTTTTTTTTTTTTTTTGGCCCTGTCTTCTAGGAAGCAAAGTGAAGAGTTTGGGGCTGTCTTTCTCTGTTGGCATGGATGTTTAGGCATTTACATAGTGTTGGCCACAGGATGTTGTCTGGCTCTTCAATTTGGCTGGTGGCCATTACGGATTTGTTTTGGTGGGGGAGGACATCCATTCTCTCCAGGAATGCCAGGTTGTATGCCTGCAATAACATTCACCTCTGCCAGATTAAGGTCCAGTTTCAAGTGGTAGGCAGCTAGCTCACTTTCTAAGGTTGCTGTGGATGTGCATGGAGGGGCACAGCTCTTCCTTCTACTTGGACTTTCTGTTCTAAGGAAACCCATTCCCATTGAGGGCTCTCTTGGTTACTGAGCAACCAGGTTGCTGTGAACAGAGCCTGTTCTGTGGGGTGATCTTTCTGTGTGGAGCTAGAAGTTAAAGGAGCTACTTCTGCCTGGGACTTTTTAGTTTGCTCTAGAAGACTTCCTTTTGCCAGACAACACAGTTTCCCATTTGCAGAGGAGACTCATGCCACGTTTATTTCACAGAGCAGAGTGGAGAGCATAGGTGGCTTTAAGGGGTGTATTAGAGAGGAGGGTCGGCTGGTTATAATATCACCCAAAATGGTCCCATGACAAAATCCACTGAGATGTTGAAATTCAATTGTAATACATCACATCAAAAGATTTTTACTTTATTCTTTCTGGCCGTGGTTGGGCATGCCTTTAATCCTACCACTTGGGAGGCAGAGGCAGATCGAGGCCAGCCTGATCTACATAGTGAGTTCCAGGACAGCTGGGGCTACAGGGAGACCCTGTCTCAAAAAGGGAAAAAAAAGATTTTTACTTTATTCTCAAACTTCCTTCTTTTAATTTTCGAACAAATATTAAGAGCTCATTATGTATCAGGCATTGTTCTTGATACTTGAGATCAATTACTGAACTATTTTGCTGTTTTTGTTTGTTTTTTGAGATGGAACCTTGTCAAAAATTACTGTCCTTAAGAATTCAAGTCAGAGGGCTGGAGAGATGGCATGTGGACAATACACTCATACACATAAAGTAAAAATGATAAACTTTTTAATAAAAATTTAAGTCAAGGACTGGAGAGATGGCTCAGCAGTTAAGAGTACTGACTGCTCTTGCAGAGGACCTAGGTTCGGTTCCCAGCACCTAAATGATGGCTAACAACCATCTGTAACTCCAGCTCCAGGGGGTCTGATGCCCTCTTCTGGCCTCTGCAGGCATTACATGCATGTGTCCACTTAGACATGTAGGCAAAACACTCATACATCTAAAAAAAATAAAAATAAAGCTGGGCGTGGCACCTGCCTTTAGCCTCAGCGCTCAGGAGGCAGAGGCAGGCCCATCTTTATGAGATTGAGGCCAGCCTGGTCTACATAGCAAGTTCCAGGCCAGCTGGGCCTACAGGGAGACCCTGTCTCAAAAAGATCAAATAATAATAATAAATAAATAAATTAAAAAACAAAAAGAATTCAAATCAGATAGATGGCCTGGTGGCACAAGCCTGAAATCAGGAGGTAGAGGTAGGAAAATCAGGAGTTCAAGGTTACCCTTGGCTACATAGTGATTTTTGAGGTTAGCCTGGCCTACATAGTATACCCTGTCTCATTAAAGGTAAATTGAGCCTGGTGTGGTGGCACACACCTTTAATCCCAGCACTTGGGAGGTAGAGGCAGGTGGATCTCTGTGAGTTCGAGGCCAGCCTAGTCTACATAGTGAGTTCCAGGACAGCTGAGGCTACAGGGAGACCCTGTCTCAAAAAGACTAAAACAAAACAGAAAAGGCAAGTTGGAAAAGCGAGGCTTATGTTCCTTATGCCACTGTTAGAAGACTGGGTTAGTCCCACTTCTGAACTGGAGCCTCGCCCTCCTGGGCCTCACTGGCTCTCTAGGGCTGCAGGTTCTGGATCCTTCTCAGTGATTCCTCTTCTATCTTGGGTCTTTGTTAAACACATGCTTTGAGAATGTGTTTGGTCGCTTTGATGACTATGACTCTCCCAAGTAAGGCCAGTAGAACACAGCAGACAGCCTTGCCTGGTCCATAGGATATAGGTGAGACAGTCAGAGAATGTGAGTGACTGATGCCTGCTGTACATATAACACTACCTCTCCCACCGTCCTCCTTCTAGTTAGCTGGTTTTCTAGACACAGAAAGGGAGAGAGCAAGCACCGGGTCCCTGCAGCTTTTGCTAAGCCCTGTGTTTGCTGTTGAAGAAGGGTTTGAGTGTGACTGTTGTAGCCAAGGCTGTGCGATTCCATTATGATAGCCAGTGTCAGCAGTTCCCAAGCCCAGTATGTCTCTCAGATATTTTTCTATTTACCACACTCAGAATTCAGATTAATTTTTATGCCAGCAAGTGGTAATGGTTTAGATACAATGGAGGAAGGATTTTATAAGTGAGTTTTTGGATAATGTTTGCCTCTCTAGGCTGTGTTCAGAACTGGCGTGTATAGGCGCATGTGTGTCTAAACTCTCTCTCTCTCTCTCTCTCTCTATATATATATATATATATATATATCTGTGTGTGTGTGTGTGTGAGGGCAGCCAGCTTTATGCTGCTGTATCAGGACTATAGAAACTTCCAAGTACAAGAGGGCACTTAGCCTTCTTCCAGATGGCCTCATGCAGTGCTCATTTATTACTGTGGATGCATTCCATGCCCACCTGTGGCCAGGAGACCAGGGGGGATGGATGATTTGAAAAAAATAATTTACATAGTACCTAGAAATTACAGCATGACCTCTTTTACGAGGGTCTGTGAGTCAGAGCCTGCTTCTCTGAGGCTGCTTCAGAGTCCTCTGTTGAAATCTTTGTCCCTTAGGTCACTCTCTGCTTGGTAATCCTCAGGGGGATATGTTAGCCCCTGTGTCAGGATAGGGGACACACACAGGCTCCTCAGTGATCCCATATAGTGGGACCCGGGAAGGGATCTGCTTGCCAGTGGTGGTGGGAACCGGCAGGACTAAGGTGTGTTCATGTCTCTTCAGGAGCCCTCCCTGTACACCGTCAAGGCCATCCTGATTCTGGACAATGATGGAGACCGACTCTTTGCCAAGGTGAGGCTACCTTTCATATTGGTTCAGGAGCAGGACAGAGACATTCTAAGATGTGACTATTGGCACTAGCCCTACTAACTCAAATTCCTCAGGTATGATTTTGAGAATCTTCCATCTTGCCCTGGCTATTCCAGATCAATCCAGATGAGCCCTCTTCTGTCCCTAGTTGGAGTGTTTCCCTGCTTGATATCCTTAGACCTCGAACTTCTGTCACCCTCATTAGAGCAGGGAGTTTTAGAGCCTTGTTCCTGAACAGAACTGTACTAGATATTAGAAGCTGCCTGCCTAAGCCCATCTCTTCTGTGCCTTTTTCCACTACCGTGTCACCCTGCTTGGTTTTTCCAGGGAATTCTCTAGCAATTTCATAGTTCCAGCCCTAGGTTCATAGTCCTCACTGAGCTGCTTACCCCCGTGAGGTGTTGTTGACTTTGGATGAATTGAGAGAGAGGAGAAAGGACACCCCTCTCCTCTACATTCTCCCCTTCCTGTAGAAATTTCTTCTGTCCCTGGTGTATTAACTCTGGGCGAGCAGAGCATAAATCAGTCAGCAGGTAGAGATTAGTTTAGAATTCACCAGCTGTTCTTCCCTGTAATTGGATGTAACTATGCAGTACACCTTTTGAAACAGTTATCCAGTTACTAAATGCCAGACCTGTCATAGGTCTTCAGCTGACTGCGACGGATTAGCCCCTAGAGAGCAGGCAATTTAGCAGCCTGCATCTCTGCCCCTTGCTGGAGTGCTTGGGAGTGGGCTTACTGAAGTGCTAGACTGCCCCCTGCTTCTTTGAGCACCCAGAGAGAAAGCCAGGGTGTGTGGGAGCTTGCCTTGCATAGAGGAGATTCTCCATGGCTGTGAGGGAGACTTGGAGAAGCTGCCTGTGCAGTCCATGTTGCTCACTTTTCTGGTACCATCTCTGATGAGGGCAGTTCCTAGAAAGCACATGCTGGGAGTATTAGAGCTGGTGGGCCTCTTAGAAATGGCATGTGGGGTTGGTTATAGCACAGTCTTTGCACTTTTTTAAAATCTTTAAACAAAAATTTTGTTTTGTTCACATTTCTTCATTTTGTATGTGTGCTTGTGTGTGGGGGTACGTGCACTGCATGTGTATGGAGGCCAGAGGACAACTTGCCAGAGTTGGCTCTTTCCCTCTACCGTGTGGGTTCTGGAGATCAAACTTAGGTCATCAGGCTTGTTGGCAAGTACCTTCATGCACTGAGCCCTGTCCCCGGCCTTCCTGGTTTTGTTTTTGTTGTTAAATTTGATTTCTCACTTCCATTCCGTGCCTCTGCAGTCCTTCCCTCTCCGTGTCAGTATTTCTCCCTCACTCCATGCTTTGAAGAAGAGAAGTACAAGTTCCCAGGGCAGAACACAGTCACTAATCATTATGGGCTCCAAGCTCTGATGACCCAACCCTGTCTCCTTCCCCTCCGTCCAGTACTATGACGACACCTACCCCAGTGTCAAGGAGCAAAAGGCCTTTGAGAAGAACATTTTCAACAAGACCCATCGGACTGATAGTAGGTTATTTTCCCTTCACTGTTCCCCGTGTTGGGGGGGAACCATGGGAAAAGGGCGTCAGCAGGACTGCAGAAAAAGGATAAAATGACTCTGCCTCCTCTTTCTTTTCTCCTCCTCCCTTCATATAATAAGCTCTTCAGAAATGTAATGGGGAGGTGAGTGTACCTCACACGGGAATACCGTGCTGGAAGGTTGGCTGTTAGCTACCTGTCTAGTGCCTGGATTTATGAGCCTCACTTGACAAATTTAACTGCAGCTCTGCTTATTGTACCGCATCCATTAGGGCAGGTAAATGGAAGTCTGTAAAGGTGACCGCTCTGCATTTTCACCTCCGAAGGATCCACTGGTATCCTGTCTATTACACAGGGAGGGGAGGAGGTGCAGTGGGGGATGGAGAGCTAGGGAAGATCCATGTATACTCCCCCGAGCTTCTGTGTCCCTCCTGCCACCACCCACAAACAATGGGTACCTTGAGTCCTTAGCGGTTGAGAGCGGCTTCCTTACCTCAGCCCATTCCGCTGGCTCCTAGGAGTTGACGGCGCCTGCTCTGCTTGCCTCCTCTTCTCAGCTACTCTCAACTCTTTCCCCCAGGTGAAATTGCCCTCTTGGAAGGCCTGACAGTGGTATATAAAAGCAGCATCGATCTCTATTTCTATGTAATTGGCAGCTCCTATGAGAATGAGGTGAGAATCCCCACCCCTCTACTATCTCTGATCCCACTTCCTAAACCAGCAGTGGGATGCAGCCACTGACTTTAGCCGCATCCCTGATATCTGACAGGGTTATAAAGTGGTTAGTCAGAGATCCCTGTTAGCATTAGCCAAAGAATTGGTCTAAAAGGGAAGTTGCCCAAGCTTTGTTTTTCAGGTGGACAGGGTATAGCACAGACTCTTTTCCAACTGCATCTGTTTTCCAAGTACTGGGAAACGTGCCTAAGTAGAATA